AGTAAAAGGTTTTGCAATGATTACCCTTTCACATGCCTCTGCTGTGTAGATAATCTCATTCCCAACATTGAGGCAGTTCTCAGCTCTGACTATGCATTCGCTTTCCCTAAGTTACTGATGTTTGTACTTATAAAGTTATCTAATAACTTTCTCACTCATAATCCTCCAAACTTAGCTACCAAACATTGCCCTACCCTTCTTATATGCAATCCACCTTTTTTCTTAGTTCTCCATTCCTTGTTATACATGCCTATGTGAATTCTTTCTTTTTAATCCCCCCTACCTCATAAGAATATTTTCTACAGATTTACGTACTCCTTTTTGATAGATTCTTACTTTATGAATAATTGCATGGTAAACAAGGATGCTGCTAGTTGTAGCTTTAATGAACATGATATCTCTTGCAAAGACAAGACCTTGCCTTCCAAGCTGCATGTATGTGTGGTCCTTGCTGAAAAAGGTTTCCCTGGCTAGTTTGTAGGACTTCTAAGAAGGGGAGCATATCCATTTCACCACTCCAATCACTCATGTTAATTTATGTAGAAGAAAACAACTGCTACCAATTGTCCTAATATCAGAATATTGTTTTCTGGAGACTTACCCAAAAGAACTCCTAGAAAAAGGTCCAAATACCTTATGGACCATTTGGGTATTAAGAAAATTCCAATCCATGAATTTTGTAGATCAACAGTTCCTGACTTGGATTTTTTGTTTTCTCCTATCTGTGAAACAATTTGAAAATTCATGGATTCCTTCCAAGCATTTCCATATCCATTTCCATTGTCTATTCCATAGTTGTTGGAAACGATTCCGAATCCAAATCATTTAGAAATCAGAATTGCAGAATAGCTGCTGGCTAGAAGATTCCTATTTTTGGAATCGCATCTATACTAGAGGAATAGCGAGAAATGCGATTCCTATTTTGTAGGAATAGAGATTTGACTAAAATGGAATCAAGATCCCTACATAGATGGAATTGATATTTTTGGCTCTAAGGAATCGAGTTTCTGATCTATTTGGAATTGATCAATATGGAATCGAGATTTTGACATTTTTTGAATCGCGAGGGAAACAATATGTCTCTATGCCATACATTGAATGACATGCCATACATGCACGTTTACATTACTTGTATTATATTATTTCTAACATCTTAGAGTTGAAATCTATCCATTAGATCAATGCAATGCATACTTAAAGATTTACATAGAAAACATGGACCACCACTTTGGCTTCTATTGGTCATTTCATGCCAAAAACGATGGCTACACCTTGTAGCTTGAGATTGGGTGTTTAGTTCGAGTAGTTTGATGCCTTGAAAACTTCTAAACATCACTTCTTAGAAAAAAAGTAAAAAGGAAAGAAAAAAAAAAAAAAAAAAAAGAAAACAAAAGAGAGGGAAGAGGGAGGGGGGGGGTGGGAGCGCGGCACTAGTAGAATTCTTGTAAATGTGGAAACCAGTTTCAACAAGTGTAGAATTGAGATTCACCAATTGCAAGATTGAGAATCAGTAAATATTAGAAACAATATTCTATAAGTGTTGGAATCGAGATTCCTAAAATAAGGAATTGAGATTCTAGACTTCATGGAAATGGGTTCCGTGAAGATTCCTAGTCAGAATCGCTGGATCGAGGTTTCGAATCATAATTGTGACCTTTGGTGAGAGATTCGGGTAACTATGGTCTAGTCATTAAATGGATTCCATTAAATGGTTGGCATTTCTTCAAATATTTTCTTGCAACGTTAATGATTCATCTTTTTGAATGAACAACTAAACGAGCGGACTGGGCCACTTTCTCTCTATGCCTTATATATTGAACTTCTTTCCAACCTTATCTCTCTCTAAACTAAGTTTGGAAAGAAGAACATCTCTCTCAACTCTATGGACCTTTCTTTCCCTTCATCCCATCCCTTCTATCTCTAAAAATTTAGTTTCCCAATGCTATCCTTTCTCTGTACAAATTTGGTTGCCCTTATCATTAGCTAACCCAGTCTCTCTCTGAACTTAGCACACATATTAATAGCCTGACCTACCCTTTGTCTCTCCTCTACCTCTCGTGGCACTTCCATAGAGCCCAAATTCCCCATGACCCTCTGCAACTCCACTAACCGAGAGACTCAACCATCACCGCCAAATCGATGAAACCCTTTGATATCTCGAAGCTCTTTCCTTACTTCCTGCTCTTAAGAGGCCTAATCCTCCTCTCTTCATAATCATTCTCTCTCTACAAATTCAACTCTGGATCAATTGGAATCCAAAACATGATCTTCATTGCCTCTACAGGCCTTAAATTCAAGGGTATAGAGCTGGTCTTGAGAGGCGTCTTACCCAAATAAGCCAAGGATTTCATCCTGAGAAGTGGGCTGTTTTTTCCCCTTCTGGGGAGATAATTATAGTGACTGCAAATCCACAAGTCAGGCCGTTTAGCCATTTTTGAGGGAGTATTTGGAGGCGGATGAGGTTTTGAGGTAGATAGTGGAAGGCATTGAGAGAAGTGGTAGAGAGAGGAAGTCTGAAGAACATGGAGAGGGAGGTGGGAGGAGAAAGAGAGGGTATGAAGGGGAAAGAGCGCAAGGGCTGTTTGATAGTTAGATTCCTGGCTTGGAAATCCAAGAAATAGGTGTCAGGTAGGAAGAAGAAACCAGGTAAAGTTGTATGGCTTTCCTCAATTAAGGAAATTTAGGATTCCATGAATCGAGGAATCTGGTGAATGCCAGATGGAGGATAATGAAAAAATCATGGATTTTAGAAATCCTTGTGAGGCCTTTTAAAGAAAGGGGGTTAACATTATCCAAATCCGAGCCAATTAGCTGCAGAGCTTTTTTTTTTAATAGATACATTCTGCTTGTGCTAGGCAGATTGGATAAATATTGGTACACTCTGATGTGAGTTGTCCTTTTTTGTTGGTTTTGGGGGCGGGGGGCAGAATACTTGCCACCCTGAGAGGATGAGCAGGAACATGCAGTCCCATACTATTCTTGTGGATTGAGCTACTGATTCTTCTTCAAAACATTCCCAAGAAATGGTGTACCATTTGGTGGTTCAATGATTTCAGTTCTTATTATAACCTGAGAGAACAAGAAACGGGCTTCTGTCAAAATATGAGGTAAAATACAGAGCTATCTTCTACTTTCAACCAGATTTCTTTCTTGGAGTTCTTTTGGAAGTAATTGGTTTACTTCATCTCTATTACCAGTCAGTTCACTTCTATTTCAGGATTTTATATTAGGAAAAAGTTTATATAGAGCCAAGGTTCTAAACAATCCAATTGGAGCCCACCTCAAAGATATCACTAGAAGAGGTTCTTTTGATGCCCAAATATCCTCAAATTGATCATGTCGACATCAAGATGCATGGACATGAGAAAAAAATGGATTTCAAGTTCTGGAAATAATGCATCTTGTAACACATTTTTGGACCATCAATTTTCAAGATTTTCAAGTTTTCATAAATCTGCTCGATCTACACTATTTTTTAAACTTTAAATTTTATAATTAAAGATGAAAATATATTTTAAGACTATCACAAAGATTTTCAATATTGAAACCACATTTCTCGACACTATTTGAAGGTGCGCTTTACTTGGATTGTTTAGAGCCTCGGCTCTCTACGAACCACACCATTTACATTATCATGAAAATGCTTTTCAGTTACAGTATGGAATGTGCCAACACTGAAGCTGTGACTTGCGTTTTATCGTTTACCTAGTGCTGCGGTTATTACTAAACCTTTCCCTTGTTGGGGAAGTCGTTAAGAAATAATGAGTCGATATGTATCTGTCTCGACTATATCAGTAATTTCTGTCTCGACTACATCACAAATGGCTTAAGGATATTTCCATTCGCTCGACTTGCATGGAATTGATACGTATGTGTCTCTATTATATCACCAATGGCTTGAAAGTTACATAAATGTGCAGTAATGTTATCTCACATTGTGATTTGCATCTTTTAAGGTATATTACTCTTAAAGGGCAGTGATAAGTCTTGCATTGTGAAGTCAACATCTAATATAGTAGGCTAGCTGTACATTCAATATATCATGCTGGGAACTAACCGTACTTTGTTGGAATCTTACAAACTGCGTTCTCATTGGTGATAATGCACTATGCACTTGAGATTTCATGGTACTTTGGTTGATACATTAATATATTCGCCAAATCTATCATTCGGAAGAGTCCCTTGGTATTTGGTTCAAAGAAAAATGTGATGTCTCAAGTTGAATGGGTGCAAGAAAGAATGTTGGAATGTGTGCCATTTTTTATCTATGTTATTAGTGCTTTGTACTGTGCATTTCTGTCTGTTCTTTCTGTATTTTCGTTCTTTTTTATATATAAATTTACATATGTTAGACCAGTGAACAAAAAGCTTGTTTCAAGTCAAAAAAACTTATTTTTGTCGACTCATCTTGTCAAATGGTTGGGTTATATGAATAAAAAGCTTCTTGAGTTTTTTATTTTATTTTATTTATTGATGTATATTATTATATGTGTTTTCTTTGTTAATATGACGAGCACACTAGCATTGTGGAAGGACCAAGTTAACGAGCTGGGTTTAATTCGTATTACATATCTATAAAAATAGATTACGCACACATAATTTCTGTGGTAGTTGTTTGAATTGGAGAGTTGGCTTGGTTTGGCATTGACCAAGTTGTCAACTTCATTCATGGTTTTGAACAATGTTAGAATCTTTTGTGGCTCGAAACCCTGGTTTAGATTTAAAATTTCTTGTCAAAAATTTAATTAATTTAAGAATATTCGTGAACTCATTCAGCTCAAGTACTTTTAATTATGCAATTCTGTTTTACTCGGCAAGTTGACTCAGTTTTGACATTTAAGAAATTGTCAATTGAGTTTTTTGCCAGTACTAATATTGTAAAATGGGAAGATTGATGAAGAGAAGTGAAAAGGATTCTTGATGAACTTGCACAAAATAAATTTTGATAACTTCACACCATTCATATGTATTTTGATGTGACCATGCCCTTGAACTTGCAGGATAATGTATTGGGAGGCTGTCTCCAAATTGGTAGCCCCTGGTGGGATACTGGTACGTATATTTCTCTTCATTTTGCCCTGGTTTCTTCGGCGTTTTGGTATGGGCCACATAAATGGGAGTGGAGTCATTATCTTCCGTCTACAAAAACTTCACAGCAGAAATAAAATTTTGCTGTTTATTGTTGGACTTAAAAATGTGTATCGTATCTGCATCACAAAGATCAGGAATTTAGAGAGAGAGAGAGAGGCACAATCACCCTAGTGGTTGTTGAATGTTGTACATCGAGTGATCCCAGAGAGAGAGAGAGAGAGAGGGAGACGATTGTTGAATGTCGTACATCGATTGATCCCAGCTTTTAAGCTTAAAGACTCATTTCTTTTCCAAACAAGTATTCCAAACCCGGATGGGTAGCGTGGATCTTTCACCCCACAACTATGTGACAGATCACCAGATCGGCGATCCGGATGGGTTCAAATCGGTGATCCAGAAAAATATTTTAAAAAAGAGAGTAAAATTAAAATACGAATTTCTGAGGTGGGTTTGGGGGGAGGGGGGAAGGTTTTAGGGGGGAACCTGTAAACTCCCATTAAGTGGTCTCGAATATTAGCCTGTTTAGGTATATTGTTTTTGAGCCAGCTGAAGTACCTAGATTGCAGTTCTTAAAGGGCAAAAAAAAAAAAGAAGGTGCCTTGATTGCAGTTCTTAAAGCGAAAAAGAAAAAGGGTGCCTTGATTGCACAGTTATTTAACTACTATTTTGCATTATCAATAACAATGCGACATGGTTCTTATGGTTTCTAGGTTATTACATCGTGTAATAGTACCAAGGACGAACTAGTGCAAGAGGTGGATATCTTCAACCAAAGATCATATACTTCTGATTCCAAGGATCAAGATCCACAGTTTCGGTACCATGACCACATTCGTACCTACCCAACATACAGCTTTGGCGGATCAGAAGGCAACCGGGTTGCCACAGTTGCATTTCTTCGAAGTATCAACCACCTTGAATGACTCTCTCTCTCCCTGTCTCTCTCTCCAGAGTAGAGGGGGTCAGTTTTTCTCTGGAAGTAGTCTTCTGGGGCTGTTGAGAATTTGCAGTGGGTGCAAGGCTTTATCTTTGAATGATCGTGTTGTAGGCTTATGAAGTTTGTGGATTATGCTAGTAGCAATGAACATGTCGGATATAAGCACTTGTCACAATAGCATTCCTTTTAACCTGCCAACTCTCTCTCTCTCTGACTAATCTCTCTCACTAAAAGCAGGAGCATTACTATCTATTGAAGTAGTCATTGAGCTGTTAATAGTTTAGCGCTTTCGGTTTGCTTATTGTGTATTGTATGCCTTAAAGATTGTGAAGTGCGTCGGAAGAAGTGAATGTCAGTTGCTACTCCTTTAAAGTGCCGATTTCCTTAAACTGAGTGCTGTGTGTGTGTGTGGAGAGACTGAAAATAATAAAGTGGCAGTGGCTTAGTTCAGTTGGTATGTTTTTGAGGATACAGGCATTCGTGCATGGTCTATGTATTCAAATTTGAATGACCACATTGAGTGAATGATGTTAGAACCAAATAAACGATCCAATAGTAAGAGGTGAATTGAAACTGCATCTTCTTTTTGCCATATTAGAATGGAGTGAACCTCGTGCCTCAAGGCAGAGCAACGCCACCTTCTTATCATATGATTCTAAATTGTCTATTTCCTTGACTTAATTGATAGGGTTCGTAAGCAATGGGAGGAAGAAAACTACAGTCCAAGGTCCTCCCATATAACTTGCAAGGAAATTTGTAAGAAGAGGGGCATGTAGTTACTACTCTGCCTGTTATTTGTATGCATTACTTCCATTGTTTCAAATATCGTCCGTCACTCAGACATCTTCAACGTACTGTTAGAAAAAACTAGGGTTCCGAGTCCGATTAAGGACGGTTTTGGGGTTCTAAGGACCTACGGTATTACTTCACAAAATGTCCGGACCAAATCTAGCCGGTTAGTGGTCGAACAGGTCGTATTTTTGTCTAACCGGCTGGTTTTGTTTAACTGGATCGGTTTTCAGTTAAAAGGGAATTTTTTTTTGGATAAAAACGGGCAAAACAAAATGACCAATGCCTACTACCGCTAGTAGTATCAATACTGTTTTCCAAAACCCATATTACGAGCTACCATATGCCTTTTGTTCCCACTATTTTTGCATTTTACTAGTTTCTTCCCTATACATATGTTTTTCCTATCGTTAGATTTTATATCAAGGAACCACCGTTGTAATCGTAGGTCCTGGTTCACCAACAAGCAACATCAAATGCCAATTTCTGAATCGAGATTGAAACGGATTTTCCTTTTCCCGATAGACAACCATTTCATTACTGCTAGAAGTACAAACCTAGCCGAGCTCAAAATGAATCGGGAAATGGAGAGTCCAGGTATACATCAAGGGTGTGGTTTGCATAAGGTTGCAACCTTCAACAATCAAATTAAGGCGTGCTTCCATATTTTATAATAAATGCAATTTTCGTGTAAAAAATTCTGAAGATGGCTTGAGAATCTATTTTGAACACTAATTATAAAATTTTAAACTCGAAAAATGGTTCAAATCAAGTAGATCTATAAACACATGAAAATCTTAAAAATGGATGGTCCCGATAATGAAGATACACTATTTTTGGGACTTGAAATCCTTCTCTCTTTTCATATGCATACATCTCGACATTGAGATGAATTAAGCATCAAAACAACTAATTTTTTTGTGGACTTTTAGGGTGCATCTTAATTCTACATTTTAAGGTTGAGTTATCTAGTCGTTGATTCTTTGATCATATTTTAAAGATTTATTCTAGTGGTCACTTGAAAATCTGTAACCAAGTCATTCCAAACTGTTTCTCTTAAAAGAAATATCAAATTAAGCACCATAGAAATACGACTTTCCAAATTTTCCGCCTTACCTCTAATTTTGGGATTCTATGTAAGGCTGACCCAATCTAGATCCGAAACCCGATTTTCAAATCCTATTTTGATCCGGGTAGGGATCCAAGTATTGGATTCTGATCTAAATTTCAGATCCAAATGAAAATCTAGATTGGATCCAAGTATCGGTGGATCTGATCCAAATCAGACCTGATTCTTATATATATATATATATATATATATATGGGCATTGATTTCATGCAACGATTGATAATCTTAAAAAATCATGTTAGGACCATTTGTTTGAATAAAAAATTGATATCTACACTCTTTTCATTCTAATGAACAATCATAAAAAAGAAAAAATTGAAAACGGAACCTAAAAAATATTTTTTAGCCCAATTAACATAGGCTGTCTATTTTGATAAAATGCTTAGATCTAGGTCTTAGAAAGATTTTTTTCTTTTCCAATTTTTTTAGATGATTTTATTATCATTAGATAAACAATGTTAAAAGAAGGAAAAAATGATTTTGAGTTTGTAAAGGTTAAGATTTTGAAATTCATCAAATGAATGATCTAGATTCGCTATTGGAGGGGACTCATTTTGACAAGTTCAAATTGAACTTTGTTTTTGGGGGGATTTGATTATTGAGATGAAGAGACTGTGTGTAAAATTTTAGGTCATACAAATACCTCAAACATGGTTTTCTATAAGTAGGTTTGCATTATACTATGATACAACCATTGCATATATATATATATATATATATATATATATATGAAAAAGGCTGTTGTGAGCCAAGGGGTTCACAAAAAAAATAAAAATAATATATATATATATAGTATTTTATACTAACCTACTCCCCACCGTTGGTTAATAGAAGAGGAACGGTGGGGGATCCTCTCTTCTCTATCTTTAATTCTAAACAAAACATGTTGCCCTAGGGTTTCTATCATTTCATGTAACTCACTGTAAAACAAATCCCCAAAATTTTCCTCGCCTCTCTCTATCAAACTTAGGGTTTTTGCAAATCCATCTTTCTTACCTCTGTGAGATTGTCCGCACCTAGCACTGGACGAACATCGGAGACTGCGGTAATAAGCAGCTTCACTTGGTGGTTGTTATTGACAGACTGAGGCTTCATGTGAGTTAGCCTACAATTGTGAGCTTGCAGGAATCCCAGGTTTATAATTATCTCCTACGTATGCGTTTTATGAATATCCTTGATATTAAAGAATATTTTTTTCTCAAAGACCTGTCGGAGAAAGATAACCCTTAGCCTTCTTATGAATATCGTAGAGATTAAGGAATATTTTTTCTCAAAGACTTGTTAGAGAAAGATAACCGTTAACCTTCTTCTCCTTATAAAAATGGGAAGCTCGAGAGAGGAAAAGAAAAAAAAAAAAAAAACACAAAGCTTCTCTTGTAAACGGATAGCTTTCTTATCTCTCTAAGAAAGAAAAAAAGGTTATTAATCTAAAATCCGAGCTCAGTAATCACTAGCTTCACGGCATCCCTCCTCTCTGATTTTGTGTTTGGTAACATCCGCACCATCAATTTTCACTAACATTAGTATCAGAGATTTTTTTTTGTATATCACTTGTTATTTACCATCTACCTACACTGGTATATTTTCACCATTTATACTTGATATCTTATATTTTCCGGTATATAGATCGTGGCATTTTTTTATATTTTATTCATGCGCTGTATTTTTTTCATGAAGAAACCACACAGATATATATGTTTTATTAGCTGCTGACTTAGTTGGTGGCAAATCTAATTAATTGTAGAGTTATCCGATTCATTTGTTATTTACTCTAATTTAAGAGAGTTGAGTGAAGTGCAAAATTATAAGAAGTTGATAAACACTGATGCATCTGAGATATGCATTGTGTGAGGATAAAGCCTATATCAACTCCCAATATTACACCTTTATCGATTCCAATTATTGCACCCCACCTATGAACGCTCACATACAAGTGAATTTGGATTCCGTGTAACTGTATTGTAGCTTGCTAATAGTTAGGAGCAGTGTTTTAAAAATCGGTGAGTCGAACTGGATTCGTCCGGCTCGACTCGGGAACCGACACAGTTTGTGCCGGTTTCGATACAAAATCGGGAACCGCCCGGTTCCAATCCGGTTCTAATCGGTTCTACCCGATTCCCTCCCTGCACGTATGCAACACGCACGTGCACGCGTTCGACACGTGTGAGGTTACCCTCATATTTCTACACAAATATTTTAATCTATATTACATAGATATTTATATACCAAAATGGAATACCCATCTTTCGATGTGAGATAATTCCCAAACATCATTAAATGAAAAGGGAATTTAAATATATTCTATTAATCATCAAGTTATAACCACATATGGTGAGGTGGCGTGGTGGTTAAGACATTTGCTTATTCATGTGATGTCTCAAAGTTGAGTCCCCCCGTAACTGTTATTTTTTTGTGTTGTATATATTGTATAAATATTTTTGTAAATAATATAAAAAGCATAAAAAATAAAAAAGTTAATTTTTTGTATAGCAGTTAATTTTTGTTGTATATAGTGGTATAATTATTTTTTTAAATAATATGAAAAGCATAAAAAAATAAAACATAAAAAGTTTATTCTATTTGAAATCTCCATCTTTCTACTAACAATCTCTTTCACTAAATTTATTATAGAAGCCTAAAAAAATAAATTTTTGAAAAATTGAAGTGTTATTTCCAAAATTTGTATGTATTTTATTAATTTTTACATTGATAACCAAATCTTTTATTTTATTTATTAATTTTTACATTATAAATCATGGAATGTACTATATGTTTCTTACAGTTGTCAATAATACATTTTAAATTAGATAATATTATAAAATATTTTTAATTTATTATTATTTATCTAATAAAATAATTATAAAATGTAAATTAATAATTATAATTTCAGTATATAATATTATAATTAGTTAGGTTTTAATAATTTTGGATTATAGTTAGTTAGACTGTAATAATTTGGATTTTTTAGCGGATTAGGGTTTTTCGCCAAAACGAGATTTTAATGGCAATTCTTTCATTGATTAGTCTACTCTTTTATAATAGTCCATGTATAATTATATATTTTATCTATGATAATTCTATGATTTTTCTTTTATGTGATGCAAATTTAATGGTTAACATAAGTTTATACAGGGAAAGAGCATCTCAATATTCACAAATTGATGAAAAAAAATGAAAATTAATAATGTAGTACCTTCATTTTTTATTGGATTCCTAAAAAACAATATTTATAATGAATTTTAATAATTTTTTCGGATTTTTTTTGAAGCTTTAATCCGACCGATTCTCAATCCGAATCATCGATCCAGATCGGTTTTTGAGATGCCCGATCCGAGTCACCGATCCACTTTTTAAACCATTGGTTAGGACCCATTTTTAAACCATTGGTTAGGACCAATGGTTTAAAAAACGGATCGGTGACTCGGATCGGGCTTCCAAAAAACCGATCCGGATCGGCGAATCGGCGATCCGAATCGAAAATCGGGTGAATCGGTCAGAATAAAGCTTAAAAAAAAATTCGAAAAAATAA